TTTTCTGGAAATTATTGTGGGGCCTCTATAACTTCCTAAACTTGTCAAAGGTATTAATTCACATAACATTTGTAAGTGTTATTTATAGAGGACAGAAACAGACAACAACTGGACAAAGAGAGGGATGGAAAAAATACCTTTTTCTTCTTTAAACCAAGTTCACTGTGAGCCATAAAAATGTCAGGAAATCTTGATCAGGGCAGAAATCTATGTAATGTGAGGGCGCAACCATACATTTACACAGAATTTCTAAAAATTTCTAAAATGGTTCAATTTCATGCTATTCATTATCTTAAAGCCTCTATTTCTTTAATTTACTACTATTTATAGATTGTCCTTTAGGAATTAATGGAAAGTACAGTCTTGGTCTTTAATTGTGTTTCAAATTTTTAAACTAAGAATTAAAGAAAATATATTGCCGGCGCCGCGGCTCAGTAGGCTAATCCTCTGCCTTGCGGCACCAGCACACCGGGTTCTAGTGCCGGTCGGGGCACTGGATTCTGTCCCAGTTGCTCCTCTTCCAGGCCAGCTCTCTGCTGTGGCCAGGGCGTGCAGTGGAGGATGGCCCAAGTGCTTGGGCCCTGCACCCCGTGGGAGACTAGGAGAAGCACCTGGCTCCTGCCATCGGATCAGCGCGGTGTGCCAGTCGCAGCACACCGGCCACGGCGGCCATTGGAGGGTGAACCAACGGCAAAAGGATGACTTTTCTCTCTGTCTCTCTCTCTCACTGTCCACTCTGCCTGTCAAAAAATAAAAAAAAAGAAAATATAGAAACCATAGATTCATTGGCATAGAAAAATAATATTTAAATAGAATTGGTGAAACGATTTACAGCTGAATTTAATTTAGTGTGAAAATCTACACTAAATCAGAACAGAGGCGGAATGTTTTCCCTTACTATGTCTGAAATATCTGTAACCTGTGAGACAAATGAGCATGCTTGCATTGATGTTGTTTCTTCCTTATTCCACCGATGGGCTTTGTGTTTTGTCCAATAAATAGAGTTAAATCATCCATTCAGCAACAGGGAAACTCTCTTACTTCATTTTATATTTGAACAAAAATTCTCTCACCAGGTGCTTGTTGGTTCTTATTCCTATGCACATATTCAGGCTTACAATCACTTGTCTGAGAAAAGCTTGTGCTTAAGTAATTCTGAAGGCATGCCATGTCATAATGCAGCCCCTTGCTGGCCTACTATGGGTTTATGTCCTGACCAGTCCATGTGACCTGAAAATATCATAATTTGAAAATGCACTGAATCCTCCTAACTTCCCAGCTAGTCTGGGTCAGCAACGTAGCACCCTGTACGGCACCAGTGGCTTCTTCACCATGGCCAGGTCACTGGGAGCTGTGGCTGCTGCCATGGCTAAGCTTGAGAGAGAAGGTGGTGTGTATTCCAAGACCAGAAACAAAACAAAACAAAACAAAACAAAACAAAATAAAATTAAAGTGGGGTTTCTACCAAATGTGCATAGCTTTTTGCACCATTATAAAGTCAAAAGAAATCATGTTAGCCATCACTGGAGACCATATGATTTAGATCAGAAACTTCCAGTGAATATCCATTCTTTCCATTATACCTGCTAACTCTGCCCTTCTTTCCAAACATACCACACGTATGTCAGATATTGTAAAATATTCACTTCTCCTTATCATTCAGTAGCTATGTGGACAGATTCCTAACTGTCCTCCACCCACCAAAATGGCTCTGGTTACAGGGATATGCATGCGTCTCTGGGCCAGTAGCAAGAAACCCAGAACTTGAGAGAGCCATCAGGGCCCAGCTTGCTTCCCTGGGGCACTGTGAGGTTTCAGCCCTGTGTGTGACCCCAGAGCTCGATCTCAAGTGGCCACAGGGAGTGCCTGGTGCTTCACCCTGATGTGCAAAACAGAGAGATGCTGACACTACAGGCTTTGGTGAGGTTGAAGCCTTGACCCAACCTCACGTCCTCACGTCAGGGTGCCCCCACTTAGACCTGTTAGTCACTTCACCAAGAAGCAGCCCAGTTTGACTTATGCCAGTTCGGGTAACTCTTTCTCTAACACGCAAGAGAGAGAAAGGGTACATGGTACAGACACACTAAAAATGCCAAAACGGGCCACAGCTGGGGTGTGGGCACTTCTACAGGGGATACATATCACAGAGTGCATGGGATGCTACTTCCATAACTAGGTACAAGTTTCCCTAAGACGGATAAAGGTGAATAGAAAAGATGACTTCTCTTTCATGTGCATGAGCTGACGGAGAGAGATACAGTTCAGGCGTCCTCTAGGACTCCTACTTAAGACCTGACGCTTATTAGGGGGAGGTAAGGTGGAATGGAACGTCGTTGGAGGTCATCGGCATTCCTGGGTACGGATTGCGACTGTTGGCTGGGGTCGAATCATTTTCATTCTAGAGTTTAGAGGAAGGGACAGAGAATATTGAGGAACGAGATTCCTGAGATCAAAGGGGAGTTTTTGGGGGAAGATGTTTTTATTCACCTCATCAACATGATAGGTCTTAGGGGTGTGGTCTCCCCACTGTAGAGGGGCTGTCGGCCCACAGGGGGTGCAGGGCTGAGGACAAGGGCAGCGGAGCCGAGCAGCCCTCCTGCAGGATCAGCCTTCAGCTCGTGGGCAACAGGCAGAGGCGTCAGCCTGAGGGAGACGGAACGAGCACCCGGACAGAGGGAGTGGGCTGCAGAGCGCTCAGCAGCAGCCGTGGGCTTTGTCTGAGCACAGACGCGGGGGAGCCGGGGAAACGCGGGAGAGCCTGGCCAAGGCCAGTGACGCAGGACCTGTTCTCCACGTGGTCAAGGGGGCATTCCGCCCGCCTGTGGTGGGCAGCAGTGTAACCCGTGCTGCTACGGGGTGTAGTTGAGGAGGTTTGCCATGTGGACAGATCATGGCGGGAGCTGCTGCTCTGGGAATCAGCAGGGGACGTCCTGGAGCTGGGAGACCCCTCAGGAGAGTCTGTCCAGGGCCGAGCTGAGGACACTTGGGAGGAGTCTGATTTGGAAGCCATGCAGCAGGCAGGCCCTTCAGAACCTGCAACTAGTTAAGCACTGAGAATGAAACACACAGAGAAAAGTACAGACAGCAGCCAGGTGAGATGCATGGGTTGTTGGGTGGGTTTTAGGGCTCCCCACCTCCTGCTTATGTACAGGTGTCTTGCAGCCAGATGGGCAGAAAGTGGTCAGAAAACAGCAGGTGAAACACACAAGGTAAGTACAAAGGTGGTCCATGCGAGGCCCTGTGTGTGCCCTCCCTGCACAGTGCAGGGGTGGAAAGCTGGAGTGCAGGACCCTGGGCCTGCATCTCAGAGGCCCTGTGACATTGGAGGAGCCTGTGTGTCTGTCTGGCATTCCCATCTGTCAGACGGAACTGACAGTGCAATCTCCACTCCACAGAAATGCCATGGCGTCGCCTAGGACGTATGTGGAAGGGGCTCACAGCAGGGACTGTCTTGGAGCAAAAGTTCAATAGGATTAAGCATCCTTTCAACTCTCGTGACCCATTATTCCGTATTTTAGCAGCTGTAGAAACCTGAATGCCATGGAAAACAGTGTGAAGAAGATGAACTGAGACAAGACAGAATAGCAGCCAAAGCACTATAATCTCCAGACCACTCTGTCCCACGTATAGGGAACAGGGTCTGATTTCACGGAGCCAGGAACGTCCCAGATTGCAAACTGCCCCCAACAGAAGAGTCCACCTGGGCATAGATGCTGGGCAACGCTGGGAGCACCTTAGATCGTCTACAAAATGCTCGCCCGTTTTCCTCGAAACTTGTGTTCAAAATGTGCATCCAGATCTCAAGCAAAGCTCAGAACACCCAAAAGTGAGCGGCACTAACTTACGGTAAAGCCAGCTTGTAGAAACGCACAGACAGGCATGTGGCAGGACATGGGGATGGCTGGACTCAGGTTCACTTGTTCCACTTTTGTTTGGGTGTGAAGTCCTGACTATGAGCCCATCTTTGGCTCATTAACCCTCCCAAGGCCACACTGAGAGCTGAACCACAGAATATTCTAAACATCTGAGATAGAGGAGATGCTGTGCCGTGGAGAAAGCCAACTGTGCAGGGTGAACACGTGGGTGTCCCCCAGGTGATGCAGCCTGCGCCTCAGACCTCACCCGGCCTGCATGCCTGTGTGCAGCTGGGTGGGATGAGTGCGGAGCCCGTCACATGGAAACCTCAGCATGGAGGACTAGCGGCAGAAGGCACTGTGGCCCTGGTTTTCTTTGCTAAGCAGTTTTTGGAGCCTTTATGGGACAGTTTGTAAAGCCTGCCAAATGCTGAGCAGGCCCTGAGCAGCAGGCACAGACCTCATCTCTGTGGCCAGTGAGCAAACCCCTGGCTGTGCAGACAACACAGGTCCCAGACAGGGAAGGCAGTCACACATCCTCTCTGATAATCCCCTAATGACAGCCCAGTTCCCAGACTGACAATAAATACGTCCCTGTCCCCCAGGGAATTCACTAAAACCAGCAGGTTCACCTGGTCCCGTTTCCAATTCCAGAACTAAAAAATACCCATCACTGTTCGGAATTACCTCCTGAGTTCTCCCAGAACAGGCTGACAATTCAGCATTGAGTACCTAGAATCTGCTGCAGTAGGCAATAGTCACACAAACACAGGGTCCAGCTGGCATTGTCATGCCCGGGTGCCTTGCTGCCCTTCATCAGCATGGCTGTCTGCATCTGTGCCACCACAGCTTGCCTTCCTGCTGTCTTGTTCCTATGCTTACAGTTCCCTAGGTCTGTTATATGTGCACATACACGACCGCCCTTCATAGAGACGCATGGCTCGGCTTCAGTTCTACTCTCCAGTCACAAAATTTTAGAGCTGAAAGTGAAGAACCGTCCAGAGTGGGCAAGAGGTCCCCACTGCAGCAGAGCCAACCAGGATCCACCCGGACGCTGCCCTCTTGCCTGTCGCTCCTTCCCACCCTGCCCTGCCTGGCCACGCCTGTCCCCATGGATGAATGAAATGAAAGCGTGTGACCACCTACCCACACACCTTGGCAGAGGTGCACTCCACACACGGCGGCCCCCACCCAGGCACGTAAGCTTGGTTGCACCTTCTAAGCGGTATCCCGGGAAGCAGGCAAACGTCAGCACATCTCCCACTCCAAAGTGGAAACCAATCCTCCGGCTGAAGGCAGGCACTCCTGGGTCGTCACACGGCTCCAGGTCGTATTCTGCGATGTGGAGAGACAGGGTCAAAGCTTTGGGGCTTGGGCAAGCACTCAACAAAAACTCAGCCAGAATAGAAATATACAGCATCATAAACAAACCAATATCAACACATTTCCCCAAATCCCATTGTGTGGTCTATGTCCCCTATACAGTGAGCTTTCCTGCAACACATGACGTGAAGTTTAGACCTTAGAAAATTACAGACCAATGAGTCCAACGTATTAAATTGAAAGAATTGATTTCAAAATTGTCACTGTGAGAGTATGGGACGGTTTCACTAGTATTTCTAATGGTGAAAATCCGCTACTGAATCCCTCTGCAAGGTGCTTTTTGATAAACTAGACACGGCATACAAGATAAAAGCAACATCAAAGGTTTGTGATGAAAGAAAGCCTATCACAGCCAATTCCACCATTAAAATACACCCCAGTCTGGAACAATCACATTTTCCCTATTTTTCAATGTACAAATCATGTTTTATTGAAATGTGATAGGAAATATTTGGCAAACTACTAGAAATTTTTATAAAATGTTCAACTAGAAAGTGCTCCAAATATAGTTTAAAAAATAACAAAGGAACGGTGCCTGGCCGACTGCTGCATTCGGGGACTACATCGCCGCCTTTTCCAGCACCACCTTTCAGCCCTGGTTTCTATGGCCGTCACTGGCCTTGAGGTTCATAACCAGGTCCACATCCTTGTCAGCGGGATGTCCCAAGGGTACAGGTGAGTGCCTGTTGGTTTAGCTTCTCCTTCCCTCTGAGGCCAAAAATTTAGTCAAATGGTATCAAAAGCCAGGCCATGTGCCCAGAGAAATACCATGAGGAACTGGAGAAACAGAAGAGCTTGTGAGAGCGTACAGAAGGCCAACTGAAAGGCAAGGTTTACTGCAAACAGTGGCCGAGACAAAGTCTACTTTCCCGGCTGCGTGGGACGGCGAGGACACACAGGAAACTGGGCTGGTCCTTCTCAAAACATGCAGCTTTCACTTAGTGGCTTCCAAAACCATCCTTCTGCTTCCCTTGATTCTAAATGCTGGATTCGGTATCCTCAATGAACATGGAAGTTCAACTCTTCACCTTGTCCCTCCACATTTTTGGCTCTAATTCTTCTCTTTCATGCCTGCGATCCACCGGGAGAGTGACAGGCATCTCGTTCCTGGACTGCATTGCAGCTTCATCACGGCTCTGCCTGCTGAAATGCTTCCTACAGCTCCCAGCCACTGGCCGAGCTCCCAGCGGCATGCTTTGTGGACTGTCCTCGTGCCGGTACTCACGGAGCTCAGGAATTCACTCTGGATCTCTCGTATGTCCTAACAACTCTGGCCACGTTCCAAATGTACTTTTCACTATTTTAGTACGACCCATAAAGAACAGACAATCTGGACAACATCACTTGATGGAACCCAACGTTTATTGGAAATCTATCATATACAAGTAGCAATGACAGAATCTCTAGAAAATAGGGAGATGAAGACGTCACAATCTTGCTGACATTATTAGCCTTCTACTAGGGAATAATTTATACTCTCAATTCAAATCAAACGTTTCTTGTCAATCCTTTGAAAACTCTTGCCAACTATGACAATAATTTGATGTTCTTTTATGCTATATCCATTGTATTACACAAGAATCATCATGATCTTACGGATTTTTGTTTTTGTTTCAGAGTTTAAGTAGTTTTCTCTAAAAGACACCTGGGGAATGGAAAGTGTGATACAAACCGCACGGTGAGAAGGAATGTGTTAGTATTATCCAGCTGCACACGCTTATACGAGGATCCTCTTACGTTACCTGAGACATTCACCATGATAAGATGTGCATTTATGCTGTGGATGGTGCCTACGGGATTCCATCTCTCCAACTCGAAGATGTTGTTTGTAGGAATTACCCTGTTTATTTTTATTCATCAATTCTCTTGGTTCATTTTCTGCTATATATACATACGTGTGCATGCGTGTGTATGTGTGTGCATCCCTGCCTGTGTGTGCACACTACAGGGTAATCAAACCAGATAACAGAACAAGCCAACAAACTGACTCCCTTTGCTTCCCAGTCACTCCAGTTCACTACACAACTCCCTTGGTGTAGGCAGTTAGCACTAACTTTTCATGGGGTCAGGTCTTCCATTCCCACAATGCCCTCACCTCCTCAGACAACTGTCACCCAAGCCATGTATTCTATTAGTTGAGCAGCAGAGTACCACCCCCCACCCCTGTCACTCTGCTGTACGACCTCAAAAGTGCCCTCAAAAGCTCTTTCTTTTCATAAAAGATGTTCCTGCCTTAGTTTATGGGACCCCATTTCTCCTGTGTCACTAGCTGCCCCATCCTCGTCAGCCAATTTAGATCCTCACTCCTACACCATCTAAATGCCCCAGAGCTTAACCTGGGACATTCCTGCCATAGCCGGGCACACCAGCCTTCCATATTAACACCCACTTGATATGGAGGGGGGCTTTCGACCTTTCTCCCAATTGGAATCTGCTGTGAGGACCTCTGACAGTCCCTTGTGGGTACTGTGATAGGTACAGGAGGACGTGTCTCCCCCGCACTCACACAGATGTCTTCACCTAAGTGGGTGATGGATTAAGCATGGAGGACTGATCCAAGTGCTGTGGCTAGGACATGCGTGAGTGGGAGGTTTTAGGTCACTGGAGGGATTCTTCAGGGGTGCTTCTCACGAGAGGGCTGATTATCAGAGTTGCCTTTGAGCACAGATTCTTTCTCTCGCCTTCTTGGCTCACAAGTGTACCCACTGGACCAGCTTCCACAGGTACTGGCCTATGGGGCCACTGGATGCTGAACTGCAGTCTTGAAACTGTGAGCTGGATGAACCTCCTCTTTCCCAGAAAGCTCAGTTTGGTGATTTTGGTTGAGGCAATTGAAAGCAGATGACTCAGACGTATACCTTCATTCTCCGATACATAATTACACATTTTTCCTTCCAAACCTGCCCTACTCCCAGTGTCTTTCATCTAAAAAATGTGCCAGCCTTGTTCCCTCAGGCTGAAATCCTCCACTGCTCTCTCCTTTTCACCACTCTCACTCCCAGCCCCCCTGGGCTGTTCTGCTCCTGCCCCCTGGAGTGTCTGGAGGCTGAGCCTGTCCTCTCTTGCTGGGCACTGCTCTCTCCTTTTCACCACTCTCACCCAGCCCCCTGGAGTGTCTGGAGGCTGAGCCTGTCCTCTCTTGCTGGGATCCGCACAGTCGTCTCCTGCTGGGGCTCACACCTTCCTGAGAAGGAGCTTCCAGGGTGCGCGGATCGCGTCAGCTTCTGTGCAGACCTTCCAGTCACCTTTTCTGACACTCAAAATGAATAACCGAGTCATGGAAACAATCCAGCTTCAAGACTTAGCGTACTGTCCTAGAGCTGCTGCCTCTACTCCAGGGCTCTGGCCACTGTGGCCTCCTGTCTGTCCTTAACCTTGCTGGCACACACTGGCTGTGCCTCCATTCCAGGGCTCTGGCCCCCGTGCCCTCCGTGTCTGTCCTTAACCTTGCTGGCACACACTGGCTGTGCCTCCATTCCAGGGCTCTGGCCCCCGTGCCCTCCGTGTCTGTCCTTAACCTTGCTGGCACACACTGGCTGTGCCTCCATTCCTGGGCTCTGGCCCCCATGCCCTCTGTGTCTGTCCTTAACCTTGCTGGCACACACTGGCTGTGCCTCCATTCCAGGGCTCTGGTCCCCGTGCCCTCCGTGTCTGTCCTTAACCTTGCTGGCACACACTGACTGTTGCTCTCCTTGTGCCGAGGATGCTACTCACCCCGTTCACCCGGCTTGCTTGTGCCTCAGGTCTCAGCTCATTAGAGGCCTTCCTTCATAACTGGGTTGATCAACATCTTTTCTCGTACCTCCCTGACCCACTTTGCTTTCTACCATGGCATCCCCACTGCTGTCCTCCCCCGAAAATACCCCAGAGAGGTCTTCAGGGCCTCTTAAGCACTAGCTTGTCTCAGGGTCTAGAGTAACGACAGACATCCTGTAGACACTGAGTGAATATTCACTGAATAAGTCAACTTCAACAGAAGAATGAATGCATGCTCCTCTTTGCCAGGCACACAGTTCAACAGTGGATGAAGACACAGTGCCCTCCGCTGAAGATGCTCGGTGTGGTGAGGCAGACAAGTACAGAACCGTAGTATCGGGCACCACGCACAGCTTTGGCGTGCGTTACGGCTCGAATGTCCCCTCAGAATCTCCTGCTGCCACGTAACTGCTATGGAGGCAGTACTGAGAGAGCCGTCAAGAGGCAGTCCAGCCTTGTAGACCCTGCCTCATGCAGGGACAGATGCCAGTCTCAGGGAGGGGCCTCCAGATGCAAAGGACCCATCCGGCCTGGCTCCCTCCCCCTGCCTGGGGGCTCACTACTCTTCCTGCCCTCTCCCATGTCTGGCAGGCACAAAGGCCTTGCCAGGGGCCATCCCGGACTCCTGGCTTCCTAGCCTCTAGACCATGAGCAAGGTAAGCTTTCCAGTCTCAGGTATTCTATTACAGCAGGAGGAAACTGGCCAAAGGGGCATATGGGTCCTGCTATGAAAATTCAGGAGGAAAAAATATTCTGCTTAGGGAGAGAGAGGTGTGCACAGCCAACAGCACTGGGCAGCACTGGAAGGAGTGCTGGTGGTGAGGCGTAAGCAAAGGGCGATTGAATGATGAGAAACCCACGTGTGCAAAGGCACAAAGCTGCCCGAGGTCTCATCATTTGCAGAGAATGACTAGGAAATTATATGAATTCATTGCAGGTGAACATGCGAGAGAAAAATAAATACAGTACACATGGGGAAGGCAGCTTGGAGTATCCTTTGTGCACGGTCAGAAGCTGAATACAAACTGAGGGCGCGCACAGCCTTATCTAGAGCATGTATGAACACAGGAAGCCTCACCCGCAGCATCACCATGGACACCCGCAGAGATTCTAGCTGGGAAACACCGTGGGAAATGCTTGCTTACTAAAGGCTAAAAACACAGAAATGAACTGGACTAACGGGCAAAATGAGGATATAAAAATAAGTGAAATAAGTGAAAAATAATATAAAAATAAGTGAAAACCATGTTTGGTGAACAACAGAAAAGTTCCCAGGGGGAGAAATGCTTTTCTTTATAATTAAGTCGCCACTTTCTGCACACTTGAAAAAACTCCATTGTGTTAGTGTCCCTGATAATCGCTTGAAGCCCAGTTTCAAGGCAAATAAAACGTCCATTTAGCACCTCTAAGGAGTGTGTTGACCTTAACATTGGCTTTGCGATCAAAGGGCTGCTCGTGTGTGTGTGTGTGTGTGTGTGTGACTGGGGGGCTGCGGCTTGGCTTCATGCATTGTTCATCTGCTGGCGTCATGCAGTAGCTTTCATTTGTGTGTAAATTAATGGGAAATGCTCACAAGCTGCAACCCTCTGTTTCAAGATTCCACAAGGATTTTAATTGGCCTCAAAGTTCTCTGTGGGTGGCTGCTCACTCATTCCTTTGAAGAGTTCACATGGGAAAAAGCAGACTCCAAAGTTACAATGTGACTTTTGGAAACTGCCCTGGTCTGAAGGAGTGCTCCAACTCCATGTCCTGGAAACATGACACTCAGTGAGTGGGTGCTGGGAACTGGGGCCTTCGGGGCATGTTGAGTCCTGATGCCACTGGCTCCATGGACACACCGATGCTGCCACAGAAGGCACAGGAACAGGTTTACACTGTTCTCCTCCCCGGCCACATGAGCACCGGGTGCTTGTCCCCTCTTCCCAGCCCTCCGCCCCCACCATGTGATGAGGCAGGAGGATGGCTCTCGCCAGATGCCAAGACCTTGTCCCTGGGCCTCCCAGGTTCCAAAACACTGAGACACAAGTCTCTGGTTTCTGTCAACCATCCTGCCTCGGGGGTTAGACCAACAGCAGCACAAGGTCACCAAAGGGCTCGCGGTCAGCCCTGTGTTGAGAGCAGCAGGACTGAGACGCGGATGGGCAAACACGAGCAAAGCTTGCACAGGCACGAGAAGCTTTATGGAAGAGACCCACAGACTCACAACACTGTCATTTTCTTTCCGTGGAGGATTCTAATTAAATTCTTTTTGGATCAGAATAAAAAGCACTGAGAGAGGAGAGGGATAGTCTCATAATGATGCTAATTGAGATCCACCAGGGGAGAATGTAGAGAGGGAGGGATTTAGGAATTACTGTTGAGAAGAGTTACGTCTTTGATATATAAAGTGGCCAATTTCATGATTAGTGCTGATTGCAGCAAATTTCCAAGAAATCAGGTAGTCTGAGCCCATCCTGCACGCTTCACTTACCAGTGAAACAGCAGAAAAAAATCAACAAAGTCAGATTAAGATAAATGGAAACTGGCCAGAGCTAAAGGGAGTATAAAAGTGTTCAGAACATCTTCAAACCCCTAAGAACTGTCAAGACGGCCTTTCGTTTTGCAGAGTGTTAATGATCACGCAGTATTTAGTAGGTAATCATTAATTCCCTGCTTTGTATGCACTGTGGGAGCACAGCCACTGGACGTGAAGCTGGAGCCAACGGTAGCCCTGCTTTGAAGGGTTTATTTAGTGGAGGAGAAAAGAGGGTGCCAAATACCATAACAACTCACATCACAGGCAGCACTGAGGGTTATGCTGGGGGACCATCTGAAGAACATGACCTTACATCCCAACTCGGAAGAGCCGAGGGGGAGGGTCTCTTAAAGCATCGTATTCACAATGTATGTAGCATCCTTGGCTGCGCCCCTGAGGAGCCGCCTAGCCGCAGTCTCTTTCTGTTGTTGGGGTGGGGTGCAGGAAGGTACTGCAAGAACTGTTTTATGTGCATGGAGCCCAGCGGGTTTACATGGTCAAGTTCATGCTGCCGTCTTGGACCAGTTTCTCAGCTGTGCAATTATAGGACTACACAAATTAACAACATAACCCATATGATAGTGTACAAGCCCTAAACAAACACAAACTACATGTTATAACCAAAAGTGAAAATGCTACTCGGCTCTGAAGCGTGGTTCACCCCCGCGCATGCTGATGTTACAGTAAAGGAAGAGCTCACGTGTGTGGGGAGCAACCCGGACTGGACTGAGTTACTGGAATTAAGACTTATTCTATGCATCTGCTCTCCCACAATATGGCGCTGGGAGGGGAGAAACAGCTTCTACACAGCTGCCTCCAGTTCAACCAATAAACTGTAGGACCTACTCCTGATTGGAGGAGAGCAGCGTACTCGGCATGTGGGCAGGCGAGTTGGGATTGGCGGAGGAGGACTATAAAGGAGGAGAGAGACGGCATGCACCAGGAACATCTAAGGGGAACATCTAAGGGGAACACCTGTGCAGCCCCCGAGAGAGCCGGCCGGCGGTGTGCCGCTCCCCCGCGGAAGTGGGGAAAGTGGCCAGGGGGAACCGCCCTTCCACGGAGGTGGAAGGGTCGGTAGCCAACCCGGGAAGGACCAGCAGCAAATCCGGGAAGGGCCGAGCAGACGAAAGAACAGCGCAGGGTCCTGTGTCGTTCCTCCACGAAGACGGGGAGCGACAATGTGGACCGGTGTGACCCCACTGTTCTCACCCGCTGGGTGCGTCTCAATGCAACCACTGATACCTACTGGCACCCAGGAACCGCACGGAGGAGTGCAGGCGCCGAGTACGCCGCTGAGAAAGGCATTTTCCTCAGAGAACCGCACAGAACCGGTGAATAAAAGTGAACGAGAGGGGCTTCTCAGGAGAAAACAGTGATTTTTATGATTTTTCAAGGATGAAATCCTGAAGGGCAAAGTAGCATTTCCTGGATGTCAGACAGATGTCCTCCGGCCTGCTTCCCAGAGGCTTGGCCTCTTGCACCTCACTGTCCATCAATTAATTTCTCTCTCTGCCCCCCACCCCCATACACAGAGGCACTATTATTGGCTGAGGAGAGAAGTAGCAAACAAGACCAACATACCTGAAAATGTAATATTGAAGCCTTCGTAGGAAATTGAAAAGTCTGATATGAACCGGAGCTGGGCAGTGAAGTTTCCAAACAGACCTGCCTTAATAGTGTGAGGCAGAACCGACCCAGTGAGCCTGGCGACCGGCTCGGAAAAGCTTCCATCCTCCGTGATCAGTAAATAGTCGTGGGAACTCTCAAGGTGGAAAGTGTGAAAGATCATCTGCACCCCTGGGAGACAGGGGGTGAGGACAAGAGACAAAGGGGGGGCAGAGAGACAGAAAGAGAGGGAGAGAGAGAGAGGGAGACAGAGAGGGATAGGAAGACAGAGAGGAGGAAAAGTGCAGATGCAGAGAGGCAGGAGAGAGAGAGAGATGATACAGGACAGATGGAGATGGCAGAGGTGAAAGAGGTAGAGAGGACATAGACAAGAGAGGAATTCAGATAAGACAGAAGAATGGGAGAAAGAGAGGGGTCAGAATTAATAATTGCCAAAATAATTTTTCTGGGTTTAGAGATATAAAAGACTTCAATCAAAATATTAAAATAACACTTTAATATATTAGCCTAACTTTGAAGTTTGAGAGTAAAATGGAGAGGAATAGGATGCCTTTAGAAATGAAGAAGAGTGGACAAACAAGAAACGTTAGTAATGTTCAACCATATATAAGCACAGAAAGAGATACAGCTGCAGGTCTGGTTATAGATGCAGATACAGATATGAGTACGGATATATGTGTGGTTATAGAGATAGGTATAGACGTGGCCATGGTATACATGCAGAGGTTGGTGTAAAGAGGAACGTGGATGTGAATATAGAAAATGTTATGGGTGTGCACATGGATACGGACATGGCTGTAGGTGTAGATAAGAAATATGCAGACAGGGCTCAGTGTGAGTGCTGTGATATAGACGGACATGGCTCTACACGTGGATATAGGTTTGGAGGTGTATATAGGTTTATATGTGCATGCCATTGGAAAGGTGGACTAGAGATGTGTTTATAGAAGTGGGTTTAAATGCATATGTAGATGTTGACCTAGGCATAGATATGGAAGCATATGTGGACACAGATAAAGATATGGATGTAGACCTGGATACAGACATGGATGTGGACATGGATACAGACATGGATGTGGACATGAATGTGGACACGGGTGTATACATGGATGTGGACATGGATGTGGTCATGGATGTGGGCATGGATGTGGATATGGACATGGATACAGACATGGATGTGGACACGGGTGTATACATGGATGTGGACATGGATGTGGACATGGATACACACATGGATACAGACATGGATATAGACATGGATGTGGTCATGGATACAGACATGGATGTGGACATGGATGTGGACATGGATATGGTCATGGATGTAGACATGGATGTGGACATGGATACAGACATGGATGTGGGCATAGATGTGGACATGGATGTAGACATGGATGTGGTCATGGATGTGGTCATGGATGTGGACACGGGTGTATACATGGATGTGGACATGGATGTGGAGATGTCTGTAGATCTCAGTGTGGATATGCTGTGCTGTAGGTACAGACGGGGCTGTAGACATGGATGGAAAGATGTATATTATAGATGTGGATACTGAAGTGGACATGGACGCAGAGTAGACATAGACACAGATGTTGATACGGATGGGAGATGGATGTGGTCATCAGTATAGACACTGATGTGGCGATAGAAGTGGTTTTAAACACAGATACACATGTGGATATAGAAGGATGTGAAAATCGACATAGATGTAGATATCAATACAATTTTAGACATAGATAATGAATTTGCACAAAATGTAAATTTTACTAGCCTTTACTGTTCTCATCTGTAGAATGAGAATAATAACATCCATTAAATAAATATGTGTGGTAATAGTGGGTAAACTCAAAATACAAGGTAAGTATAAAAACTATCCTAGAATTATCACAGAAATGAGAAGTTTAACTAATTGTTTACTTTTTATTTCATCAATGTCCACATTTTACTTGATACCTCTTTCTCACAATTATAGGTAATTTCTAAGCTTATATTAATGTGCATTAATCTGGTAAATAGTGAGCAAGACTAGCTAAAACTTTTGGTTTTAGCTCCAGCGTTTAAAAGACCATTTTTATTCCAAAATCGTATCTAGAAATAAAAGCTGATGGCTGAGCACATATGTAAGGAAATCACTCATCTTGCTTGTGGACACGTTAGTACTTATTTCTTTTTCCCATGCTTCTGCCTCATTTGTTACTCTGTACATGCCAGGTCCTTACCCTTCCCGTGAGGCACTTCAATGGTCCATGTGCAGTTGAGGGAATTGGGATAAAAATCAGGAAAGCCAGGAGAAAGGACTGTCCCGCTCCTCCCGTGGATATAGCCTCCACACAGGGCTTCAGAGAATAAAAAGAAGAGAGTACATTAAACTTTCACTGTGGTTACTACAATAAAGGACTTTACAAAGGGCATGGAGTGTGTTCAAGGACTAAAACATTGACTGCCACATCCGCGAGAAACCAAACCAAACCAAACCTAAAGCAATGCTACCTGAGTGTGTGATGTGCCCATTCGAATGCAGGTGTCCCAACTGTGGGGAGCAACCCGGACTTAGACTAAGTTACTGGAATTAAGACTTATTCTATGCATCTGCTCTCCCACAATATGGCGCTGGGAGAGAAGAAAACAGCTTCTACACAGCTGCCTCAGTTCAGCCAATAAACTGTAGGACTCGCTCCTGATTGGAGGAGAGCAGCGTGCTTGGCGTGTGGGCAGCCGAGTTGAGATTGGCGGAGGAGGACTATAAAGGAGGAGAGAGACGGCATGCACCAGGAACATCTAGGGGGAACATCTATCTGAAGGAACACCTGTGCAGCCCCCGAGAGAGCCGGCCGGCGGTGTGCCGCTCCCCCGTGGAAGTGGGGAATGTGGCAGGGGGAACCGCCCTTCCACGGAGGTGGAAGGGACGGTAGCCAACCCGGGAAGGACCAGCAGCCAACCCGGGAAGAACCAGCAGCAAACCCGGGGAGGGCCGAGCAGACGAAAGAACAGCGCAGGGTCCTGTGTCGTTCCTCTACGAAGGGGGGAGCGACATAATGGTGCCGTGACTCGGATAGGAAACCTAGGACGGATAGGAAGCCTAGGACGGACAGGAAACTTAGGAGGGAAGAAACGGGAAGAAGTGGAAAATATCGGAGAGAGAGACTAGCAAACAGCCTAGGGAAAAGCCGGACGAAAAAGGTGCCGGAAGGAGCTATTGAAAGCCTAGGCATAGACTCGGATACGGACTACGGGGGGAAGCTGGGAGAAATCTCTAAGGTTGAAAGCGAAAGTGAAAGCTAGAACAAACAGACTCGGATGCGGACTGTGGGGAGAGGCTAGGAGAAATGAGGGAGGAGTATTGTTGGAGGAAAGCTTGGGGAAACATACCGGGTAGAGAAAAATGTTAGGGAAATTGAAGCTGCGGGGGCAGGCCGAGGCGGAGACGAAAGCCACTTTGGGATTCTCAAGTTAGCCCGGGAATGGGGGGCGAAGAGTTGAAACCAGAAGCGGAAACGTAAGCCAGGTTGGGATCCGTCTGATTAGCCCGGGGAGCAGAGGACGGGAAGCCAGATCGTGGGGCGGAAACGTGAGCTGGGTTGAATTCGCCAGGTTAGCCCGGGGAACTTAGATTGAATACTAGTGGCGGAGACGTGAGCTGGGGCTGTGTGACTCGCGGAGGCTGCCGCGTGCAGAGAGAGCGTGCGGGGCACAAGTAGATAGGGAACACTGGGCTAGTGCGAGACCGCGGAGTGTGCGCGCGAAGCCGAGCCGCGCAGAGCCGCGAAGCCGCGCAGATAAGAGAAGCGGGCTGAAGCAGCTCAGCCGGAAAGCCGCCGAGAAGCAGCCTCGGGGCGGGTGCCGGGAAGCCGTGGGGATAAGAGAAACAGAAGTTTAGAAGTAAAATGAGAGAAATAGGAATGTTGGCAGACAGAAGTAAAATGGGAGAAATAGGAATGCCCGGAGATAGAGAAATAGAGAAATAGAAAGGCCTCCCCACAATACTGCAATGAGAAGGCTTGGTTTCGGTCTGCCTGATTAGTGAGGCGATGAGCACCTGCGGGCGGCTGGCAGCTTATGCACTGCAGGTCACCAAAGACGGGCACGTTATTAACATCAATAGTCTCCCCACAATATGGCAATGAGAAGGCTTAGATTCAGTCTGCCTGATTAGTAAGGCGGTAAGCACCAGCAGGCAGCTCGACCAGAGTATGAGCTGCAGGTCACCGAAGATAGGCACGAATCAACACCAATAGGCCTCCCCACAATATGGCAATGAGAAGGCTTGGATTCGGTCTGCCTGATTAGTAAGGCGGTAAGCACCAGCAGGCGGCTCGACCAGAGTATGAGCCGCAGGTCACCGAAGACAGGCACGCATCAGCGCCTAAAAACCTCCTCACAGCATGGCGAAGAGAGGACCCGGATTCGGTTTGCCTGATTGATAGGACTTGTAAGAACCTGTGGCAACTCTAGCAAGTAGAGCAGAGTGTGTGCCGCGGGACACCGAAGACAGGCGCGTATCAACGCCAAAAAATAAAAAGAAAGGGGGATCTGTGGGGAGCAACCCGGACTTAGACTAAGTTACTGGAATTAAGACTTATTCTATGCATCTGCTCTCCCACAATATGGCGCTGGGAGAGAAGAAAACAGCTTCTACACAGCTGCCTCAGTTCAGCCAATAAACTGTAGGACTTGCTCCTGATTGGAGGAGAGCAGCGTGCTTGGCGTGTGGGCAGCCGAGTTGAGATTGGCGGAGGAGGACTATAAAGGAGGAGAGAGACGGCATGCACCAGGAACATCTAGGGGGAACATCTATCTGAAGGAACACCTGTGCAGCCCCCGAGAGAGCCGGCCGGCGGTGTGCTGCTCCCCCGTGGAAGTGGGGAATGTGGCAGGGGGAACCGCCCTTCCACGGAGGTGGAAGGGACGGTAGCCAACCCGGGAAGGACCAGCAGCCAACCCGGGAAGAACCAGCAGCAAACCCGGGGAGGGCCGAGCAGATGAAAGAACAGCGCAGGGTCCTGTGTCGTTCCTCCACGAAGGGGGGGAGCGACACCAACCAGTAGAGAACTGGCCAAACCGAACACAGAGGGCAGCCTCATCGTGACCTGAGCCCACAGTAAGCAGCCAGCAGAGCTACAGTAATGCTGCAGGCTTGCATTCCCGAGAGCTGCCGGGCTTAGCAGCTCTTCACCAGCTGAAATTCCCCACAGCACAGTATGCTATGTTCAAAACTAACCCAGAGATGCACCTTTTAAGCAATATTTTATTTATGTATTTATTGGATTTTTTGAGAGGCAGTGAGACAGAAAGAGAGAAGCAGAGAGAAAGAAACAGAGAGAGCTCCCATCTGCTGATTCACTCCCCAATTGCCAGCAACAGCTGGTACCAAACCAGGCCAAAGCCTAGATGGGGAACTCAATCTGGGTCTCCCATGTGGGTGGCAGAGCCCAAGGTAATTGATCCATCACCTGCTGCCTTCAGGGTCTCCATCAGCAGGAAGCAAGAATCAGGAGTGGGGTTGATACCCCAAGCCAGGCACTCTGATGGGAGCTATGGGCATTCCAAGCAGTGTCTTAACTGCTAGGCCAAATGCCTGCATGAAAGACTAGATTTTGAGACAGGGAATAAAGACATATACCATAGAATTGTTTCAAGAAGAAGAAGTAATAACGAGGGCACCCATGCAGTCCAGTTGGTTAAGTGTTAACACCGATGTCAACAATCGTCAGCCCAGCTACCCACCACCCCTGTGACCTTTGCTGTCACTTGTCTCAACCCCCCATGTGTCTTCCTGCAAATGGACACAGTGACAAAGACAGCTCCTACGCGGACACTTGTGGTGGTTGCCATTTTAGAGCACACAGCGCAGCGTGTGACAAATGCTAAATACTCAAACCACTAAGTCCTGAAGGTTGTTACCAGGGACTCCATCTTGCAGATGTAATTTCGCGATTTGAGTAAATCTGGTAAGGCCCGATTCAGCAAACATCATGGGAAAGATCCTGATGTTCTCTCACTGACATTTCTTTCTCATTTTGCATCTTAAGCCTTTCCCTCTTTGCAGGGAATGGAACTGAAATGAAGGATCAGAGGCAACAGCATCCACACAGCAGGAGACAGGAGCAGGAGAGGTGACAGTCATCTGGGTTCTGGGAGCAAAGCCTGGGTGTCACCTAAGTGGCCAACAGTTCTGCATCTTGGCTTCTTCCTCAGACATCGCCACCTGCGGCTGTGAGGCCATTCGTGTCACCTGCACAGACCCCAGGGCCAGGCTGCCCAGCCCAAGGCAGCACCCCCACTGTGACAGGGAGCCCTCTGTGTTAGCTTGACTGGGCCCTGTGGTGCCCAGAGAGCTGGGGACGCAGTGTTGCCAGGAGTGCTTGGGAGGGGTTTCTGGGGGAGATGAGCCTGTGAGTGAGGGATGGAGGAAAGAGGACCCCTCACCAACACAGTGGGCCCTGCTCACTCTCTTGGAAGTCTGAGTAGGACAGAGATGGAGAGGAGGGAGAACCTGTCTCTCTTCTTTATGTACAAAAACAGTCTTCTACCCTTTACCATAGGATCCCTGGCCTCAGACCCTGGGACTTCCAGACGCATATCAGGGCTCCTCTGGGAACCCCCAGTCTCATACCTGGGTCCCCTGGGTGTCCTGGGTGCGCAGCTTGCAGACCGACAATGACCACAGGGCTTCTTGTTCTCCATCTTGATGAAGGGCCATTCCCATAACAATCTGCTCTCTAGATATGGGAGGATGCCCCTACTGGGTCTGCTTTCTCTGGAGAGCCCACACCTCCACCTACCAGGTGGTAACAGGTGGTAACTCTGCTTGCACCTCCTCACACCCGCCAAGGGGTCACAGTCCCACCTAACTCCCTGATGCTGCAAGAATGGAGTAAGTCAGTACCACAAAGAGTTTATGAAAGTCGCACATGCAAAGTTCACTCATCAATGTCACATGTTACCGCATGAAAGTCACACATGCAAAGCTCACTCATCAGTGTCACATGTTACCGCACAGTTTATCAGACTCCCTCTTGTACATCCTCTCTTCCTTTCTGTCTATATATTTATGGTGCCATATTTTAAAACAGATATGATTGACTCTCATTAAGCAAGCAATAGCTAGAATACTTTTTTCTTAATAAAAGGAACATTCTGAATTAAGTTTCATAAAGCTACTTCCAAAATGATATTTGCAAAAGTATTAGATAATTCATGACAGCTGTGATAGGACTCACTGTGCCCGCTAATCAAGTATTTTGGGGGAACAGATCACTTTTCAGATGCAAACCACATCATAAAAGGAAAATACAAAGATTATCAGAATAGAAACATCTAGAATGAGTTCTAAAGT